CCTTCCTTCCTTCCTTCCTTCCTTCCTTCCTTCCTTCCTTCCTTCCTCCCTCCCTCTACCCCTCCCTCCCTTCCTTTCTTTCTTTAACTGGATATTTTATTTATTCACATTTCAAATGTAGCCGGGCGGTGGTGGCGCATGCCTTTAATCCCAGCACTTGGGAGGCAGAGGCAGGCGGATTTCTGAGTTCAAGAGTTCGAGGCTAGCCTGGTCTACAGAGTGAGTTCCAGGACAGCCAGGGCTACACAGAGAAACCCTGTCTCGAAAAAACAAAAAAAAAAAAAAAAAAAAATGTTATCCCGTTTCCGTTTCCCGGTTTCCCCTCGGCACCCTGCTTCTATGAGGGTGCTCCCCCACCCACTCACCCACTCCCGCCTCACTGCCCTAGCATTCCTGTACACTGGGGCATCAAGCCTTCAGAGGAACAAAGGTCTCCCCTCCCATTGATGCCAGATAAGGCCCCTTCAGTCCTTCCCCTAACTTCTCCTCTATTGGGGTCCCCATGCTCAGTCCAATGGTTGGCTGAGAGCATCCATCTCTGTATTGGTCAGGATCTGACAGAACCTCTCAGGAGACAGCTGTATCAGGCTCCTGTCAGCAAGCATTTCTTGGCATCTGCAATAGTGTCTGGGTTTGGTGTCTGCATGTGGGATGGATCCCCAGGTTGGACAGTCTCTGGATGACCTTTCCCTCAGTCTCTACTCCACTCTTTGTCCCTGTATTTCTTTTAGACAGGAGCAATTCTGGGTTAAAATTTTGGAGATGGGTGGGTGGCCCCATCCCTCAACCGGAGCCATGCCTAACCTCTGGATATGGTCTCCGCAGGTTCTCCCTCCCCTTTGTGGGGTATTTCAGCTAATGTCATCCCTGTGGGGTTCTGGGAGGGTCTTCCTTTCCTGGAGATGCCAGCACTTTCTGATTGCTACCATCTCCCATTGCTACACATCTCTGTTCAATTTCCTGACCCTTTGTACATCTCCTCCATCTCCTCCCATACCTGATTCTTCCCTTCTTTTTCCCCTCCCCCTCTTCTCTTCCTCCCAAGTCCCTCCCACCCTCTACTTCTCTTGATTATTTTGTTCTCTCTTCTAAGTAGGGCTGAAGCATCCACTCTTTGGTCTTCCTCCTTCTTGAGTTTCATGTGGTCCATGAGTTGCCTAATATGCACTTACCAATGAGTACATAACATGTGTGTTCTTTTGGGTCTGGGTTACCTCACTCAGGATGATATTTTCTAGATCTAGCCATTTGCCTGCAAATTTCATGAAGTCATTGTTTTTAATAGCTGAGTAGTATTGCATTATGTAAATGTACCACATTTTCTGTATCCATTTCTCTGTTGAAGGACATCTGGGTTCTTTCCAGTTTCAGGCTATTATAAATATGGCTGCTATGAACATAGTGGAGCATGTGTCCTTATTACATGTTGGAGTATCTTCTGGGTATATGCCCAGGAGTGGTATAGTTGAGTCCTCAGCTAGTACTATGTCCAATTTCTAAGGAACCACCAGACTGATTTCCAGAGTGGTTGTACCAGCTTGCAATCCCACCAACAATGGAGAAGTGTTCCTCTTTCTCCACATCCTTGACAGCATCTGCTGTCACCTGAGTTTTTGATCTTAGCCATTCTGACTGGTGTGAGGTGGAATCTCAGGGTTGTTTTGATTTGCATTTCTCTGATGACTAAGGATGTTGAACATTTCTTTAGATGCTTCTTGGCCATTCGAGTTTCCTCAGTTGAGAATTCTCTGTTTAGCTCTGTTCCTCATTTTTTAATAGGGTTATTTGGTTTTCTGGAGTCTAACTTCTTGAGTTCTTTGTATATATTGGATATTAGTCCTCTATCAGATGAAGGATTGGTAAAGATCTTTTCCCAATCTGTTGGTTGCCGTTTTGTCCTATTGACAGTGTCCTTTGCCTTACAGAAGCTTTGCAGTTTTATGAGGTCCCATTTGTCGATTCTTGATCTTAGAGCATAAGCCATTGGTGTTCTGTTCAGGAACTTTTCCCCTGTGCCCATGTGTTTGAGGCTCTTTCCCACTTTCTCTTTTATTAGATTTAGTGTATCTGGTTTTATGTGGAGGTCATTGATCCACTTGGACTTGAGCTTTGTACAAGGAGATAAGAATGGATCGATTTGCATTCTTCTGTATGCTGACCTCCAGTTGAACCAGCACCATTTGTTGGAAATGCTGTCTTTTTTCCACTAGATGGTTTTAGCTTCTTTGTCAAAAGATCAAGTGACCATAGGTGTGTGGGTTCATTTCTGGGTCTTCAATTCTGATCCATTGATATAGTTTTTTTTTTTTTTTTTAAAAAATGTGTGTCTTTTGAGTCTTTAACTACCTTAGGTTAGTCTGAATCTTGAAGGAGACCTCCTGCCTCAGGCTTCCAGGTCCTGAGAGGATAGGTGACAGCCTGGGTAACTCAAGAGTTTTTTTTAAAGGGCCATTCTGAATTCTGTGTGGAGAATGTTTTGGAAGGAAGCTATAGGAGAGAGTAGTGAGGCTAGTTAGGGTTTGCTGCCATAAGTACTTACTGCCATTACTTGGGCTGGGGCAGCAGGAGTATGAATTGTGGACAGAGTTGGGATATGGGTGAAGCAGAAACAAAAGACTTTGTGGACAGGTAGTCTCCATGTCTGCCTCCCTCCTTAAGCAGCTTCTTAGTGTGTGTTGTGTGTGTTGTGTGTGTGCGTGTGTGGTGTGTGGTGTGTGTGTGTAGTGTGTGTGTGTGTGTAGTGTGTGTGTATGTGGTGTGTGTGTGTGGTGTGTGTGTGTGTGTGTATGTGTGTGGTGTGTTGTGTGTTGTGTATGTGGGGTGTGTGTGTGTGTGGGGGGTGTTGGTATTATTTTTGAGACAGTGTTTAGCCCTGATTGATCTGGAACTCACTCTGTAAACCAGGCTGGACTGGAACTCAGAGACCAGCCTCTCTCTGCCTCTTGAGTGCTGGGATTAAAGGGATGTGCCATCACTGCCCAGACTCTAAAGCTAATGGACAAACTAAAGTTCTTCCTCCAGCCTCCCTCCTCCTCCACAAGGAGTCAGATGCTCTGAAATATGCCCGTGACAAGAAGTGAAAATGAAATGTTCTTTGAAAAGCTAGATTGGGGGCTGGAGAGATGACTCTCTGGTTAAGAGCACTGGCTGCTCTTCCAGTGGACTCTTATTCAGAACCCACATGGCAACTCAAACCTGTTTGTAACTCCAGTTCCAGAGGAAACCAACACACTCACATAGACATACATGCAGGCAAAACACCAATGCACATAAAATAAAAATAAATAATTAAAAAGAAGCTAGATTGCAGTATATGAACACTTTTTAAGCTTGGGCTTTTTTTTTTGAATATTTGGTGTGTGTGTTGATGTGGCTGTGTGGGTGCATGGAGCTCAGAGGACAACTTTTGGAAGTCAGGTTTCCCTTGACCTTTACGTGGGCTCTGAGGAATAAAACTAAGTCAGATTGTCAGGCTGGTGAACCAAGCCCCTTCATCCAGAGTCCTCTTGCTGGCCCAACACGACTCTTACTTCAACAACAACAGTAAGAAGAAGTCACACTCATTCGTGATTGCAAGACTCACCCTCTCCCTTGTCTTTGCTCTGCTCCTGGAGAATCTACTATTTTTCTCTAATATTTGAGTCACAAGAAGGTCGTCACTCGGGGTTGTGGGAGATCTGGTTCCATTCAGCGCTGACCCCAGGAAGTCTTGAGGGTAAAGGTACCACGTCAGACTTGTGATTATGTTCCTAGGCCTGTTCACGGTGCTTAAGTCAAGAGTTGGAGAAAATGAAGCAGCCTTCTGGCTGCTGCTCCTCCGTTCGAAAGTTTCATTTAACTCTGCAACCTTCGCTGTGAGATGGTGGTAATTTTCTTCTCTGTACCCTCCCTCCTTTGGGTTCTTGATAATCTGTTGACAATATTTAAGTCTGTTTTAGAAATTATACCTCCCGGGGCAACAGCCGCAGTGCTAATACTGGTGGGGCGTGCTCAATGGATAGGGACGTTCTAAATTTTGTAGTTTCTTTTTCAAATGATCTTCAGTTAAAGGACCACCTGCTTGGATCTAGACCCCATCACATGGATAAGATGGTTCTTCTGTATCTGCCAAGTTTGGTTTTTTTTTTTTTTTTTTTTTTTAATAAAACCATTCTGGAATCAGGTGTCAGGGCTTGGGTGGCTTGAATATGCTTGGCCCATGGGGAGTGGGGCTATTACGAGGTGTGGTCTTGTTGGAGGAGGTGTGTCACTGTGGGGTGGGCTTTGAGGTCCTGTGCTCAAGCTCTGCCCAGTGCAGGGGAGCCTCCCCCTGGCTGCCTTTAGATCAAGATGTGGTGCCTACAGGAGCACCTGCTGATAATATGCTTCCCACCATGGTGACCATGGACTGAACCTCTGAACCTGTAAGCCAGCCCCAAGTAAATGTGTCCTTTTTATTTACCCCCAAGTAAATGAGTTGCCTTGGTCATGGTGTCTCTTCACAGCAATAAATCCCAAATTCAGACAGGGCTAAACAAAACAAAAGAGCAACAAACCCCTAAAAATTCGCAGAGGATACATTTTAGTCCCACTGGGCATCTCTTCCCTCTGAGTTAACAAATTGTATTATACATAATGACACTCCTACTTTATTTTATGGTATTTTAAGACAGGGTTTCTCTGTGTAGCCACTGGCTGTCTTGGAATTCTCTTTGTGGATCAGGATGGCCTCAGACTCACAGAGATCAGCCTGCCTCTGCCTCCCTAGTCCTGGGATCAAAGGTGTGCACCACCACACCGGGCTAATGATCTTAAGGGATTTTGATTTTGACTCCTCACCTGAGCTGTCAAAACAGTGTGAGAAGTACTGATGAACATATGAGTGGTAGTTTTATGTGGAAATGACTGAGCAAGTGCTGGGAACTAGAGAAACTGCACAATGGTGCAATTCAATCGAGGGAGATATTGGAGATTCAGGGGCTAGGTGGAGAAACGTATTCTTAGGAGGCTAGTGGCTGCGCCCCAGTACCTAATAAGTAAATAAGCAAATGACATTTGGGGCTGGCAGGAAGCTGCACTAGTCATGCTGCTTACTGCCAAGCTTAATGACTGGAACGGGGTTCCTGGAACCCATGAGGTGGTGGTGGGGGAGGGGTGGGGCAGGGAGGGGGCAAGAGAGTTCATTCTTGATACTTGTCCTCTGACCTCTTGTGCAATGTGATGTACCGCATCCCATCCCGAGTGCCCCAAATAAAAAATACTTTAAAATATTTAAAGTATTAAAATACTTTTAAATATTCTGATGAGAATGACTATTTAAAATAGAACTGGAATTTCACAAGATATTACTCTTAATCTTATTTTGAAGCAAACCAAGTTTTATACATTATTAATGCTCATAATATTTATTTATTTATTTATTTATTTATTTATTTATTTTTGGTTTTTCGAGACAGGGTTTCTCTCTGTAGCCCTATCTGTCCTGGAACTCACTCTGTAGACCAGGCTAGCCTCGAACTCAGAAATCTACCTGCCTCTGCCTCCCAAGTGCTGGGATTAAAGGTGTGCGCCACCACCGCCCGACATAATATTTATTTATGACTCAGCTGAATACTATGTGTTCCTAAAACAGGATGTTTCTTCTAGAACGATTTTCTCACAGGTTGTTGTGGCGGTGACCACCATGTTGAATTTTAGCTCTCTAGAAGACTTAGGAAACCAATCAGGAGGCTTGTATCATTTAGCATTTAATTATGCTTCCTAGTACAAACAGTCTGTCATTTTTTTTTTTTTTCGAGACAGGGTTTCTCTGTGTAGCCCTGGCTGTCCTGGAACTCACTCTGTAGACCAGGCTAGCCTCGAACTCTCGAACTCAGAAATCCGCCTGCCTCTGCCTCCCAAGTGCTGGGATTAAAGGTGTGCGCCACCACCGCCCGGCCAGTCTGTCATTTATTAATTTTATCAAGTTGTAGCGTGATATTTTCCCTCTACATTTGCAATAAAGCTTGATCATTGGACAGTGTGAAAGGTAGGTGGGGGAGGAAGAGGAGGAGGAGGAGGAGGAGGGAGAGGAGGAAAAAGAGGAGGAGGAAGAGGAGGAGAGAAGATGGCTTCGGATGTAGTGTGTCTCTAGTAGTCTAGGTAGTTATAATATCTAGGTTAGATAATTGGGTAACGATTCTAATTGTGTGGACATCTTGTTAATTGATCATTTCCAAATATATAAATCTATTGGATAATCTTTAAGCACTAAGAGGCTTTATTCTACCGGGTACCGCAGGCATAGTGGGAAAGGTCTAGGCGCAGCCGAGCATTGTGGACAGTGTGCTGGATTGGCAGAGCCAGCCACCACACTGACGGCTTGTGAGTGCCAGGGCTGCCGTTTCTAGATGGCTGCGGTCCAGAGCCGGAGCAGCGGGAAATGGTGGCTGCCCGAGAACGGACGGGCGCCGTTGTCTAAATATCACCCCTACATCAAGTAAAGAGACATTTTCTTTTAAAGAAAAATGTTTGTTTAATTAAATTTTTTTTCTTTATAAGGAATTAAAGACCTCATTTTGCTGAGTGGCCGGATATTCCTCCTGCTGGCCCTGCTTACCCTAGTCATTTCTGTGACCACCTCCTGGTTTAACTCACTGAGACCTTCCCAAGTCCATCTGAAAGGTAAGTTTAGTACTTGCACTACCTACCTTTAAAAAAAAATATTTTTTCCTCAAAAAATAAAAAGTAATCTTTTCTACTCAAACTTTTTCTTTTGTTTATTCTACAGTAAGAACTGTTCTATCATTCATTTATTCTGTGTAATTTCAAGTGGGAGCCTGTTCTCTCCTTCCAGTATGTGGGCTCCAGGGATGACTGAGGTCATAGGTTGGGCAGTAAGTGTCTTTACCCACTGCGTTTTCTCACCAGCCTTAGGAGCTTTAAAAGCCCCGGATAGAGAGGTGGTAAAGAGAAGTGACTGCTGTTCCAGTCCCCCTGAGCTCTAGTCCCAGCACGCATACAGCTGTAACACTAGATCCTGGGGATCTGCCGCCCTCTTCTGGCTGCCATGGGAACTGCATGCATGTGGTACATATACATGTAGACAGAACACTCACACACATAAAATTTAAAATAAAACAAAAAAACAGAATTGTACTTGGCCTTCTAGCAGATTACTTTTAAAACTAGCAGCTATTCTTAAATGTTATTAGCAAGCTTCCCATTGCGATTTTTTTTTTTTGTTTTGTTTTTGTTTTTTGAGACAGGGTTTCTCTGTGTAGCCCTGGCTGTCCTGGAACTCACTCTGTAGACCAGGCTGGCCTCGAACCCAAAAAGCTGCCTGCCTCTGCCTCCCAACTGCTGGGATTAAAGGCATGCGCCACCACTGCCTGGCCCATTGTGATTTTTTAAAATGTATTCATTTTTACTATTTCATTTTTTGTGTGCATTGGTGTTTTACCTGCCTGTGTCTGTGTGAGGGTGTCAGATGCCCCAGAACTGGACTCACAGGACAGTTGTGAACTACCATGTGGGTGCTGGGGATCGAACCTAGATCTTCTGGGAGAGCATCCAGTTCTTGTAACCCATGAACCATCTCTACAGCCCTTGGTTTTGTTTTAAGATAGGCTCTGCAATAACCCAAGGTGGCTTGTTACTTACTGTATAGCTGAGGATGACTTCCAACTTCTGATCCTCCTGCCTCCACCTCCTGCCTGCTGAGATTACAAATCTGCACCAAGAGCTGGTAGTTTGTGGTGCTGGGGCTCCAACCCAAGGCTCCGTGTGTTAGGCCAGCATTCTGCTAACCTCTGTAATTATTGCTTTTAAAATACAAGCAAATACAACAGAGAGTGTAAACTTATAGCTCTTTCATATCAGCCATGCAAAAAACATAATTGCAAAAGATTATTCGACCGAATAATGTATGATATTGTGTGTTCTTTGGGGATTCCCAATCAAAGAGTTTGGATTTTCTCTGCTTTGATCTCTCATACTTCAAATGACTCAGTTTGGATAGTCAATAAAAACATTGTGATTTCCCATTAGGAATTTTGTTATGGTTGTGTTTTCAGTTTGCTGTGAACCTCAGGTGTAGATGTGTGAATAGCACCTGGTGCCCTGCTTTCAGTCCTTAGCACTCAAAAAAAAAAAAAAATCTAATAAAAGCCAACAGTATGTTGCTGTCAAGGAGATGGCTTGCTGCTCACACTGCATTGCCAGCTCCTGTGACTTACTGTTTATAAATATGGAAATGTGCCCCTGACGGCTGGTTCCTGCCTTTGTAAATTGTTCCTTTGGATTATTTGGGTGTGAGTCATGTGATTCATTTATGGCTTGACAGACTCTTAGCTGAGCTGCATCCTGCCTTTGCTGGGGTACCTGGAGCATCTCAGGCAAGCCATTCAGGGGAGGCAAAACGCAGTCTATAATGGAGGTCCTCAGTTTGTATTTTCCCAGGGTGGGGAAACAACAGAGTCTGGGATGATTGCCCTGGTTCCCAGTCTCTTGTATACCCTGGCACAGCTGGGGTACCTGTGAGAGTTAGGATTGGGGAAGGGGGCAGTTGGTCCTTTCCCTCAGTGTCCACAAGCCAGGCAGGAAGGGGAAAGCAGAGCCCTAGAAGAGGGGCTGAACCAGTTTGGTTCTGAGTGAGGGTCTGGGAGAGAGAAGGCCTTCTCCAGGAGATTTAGGAGCAGCTCTTTATGACAAGGAACCCCTCCTACCCCCATCCTTGATGAAGAGATGGTCTGTGCTTGTTCAAACTGCTTTATTTGATGGGGAATGAGAAGACATCCACTTTTTACTCAGAGTGAAAGGATTAAATACCTTTTATAGGAAGGAATGGGGGGAGTGAGGGGATGGGGATGGGGGGCTATCTAGATACCTCATTAGTGTGGATTTTATTAGCAGGGTTTTATGCTACCTGACTGATTGTCCTCTCAGTGGGTTGTCACATGGTTTGTTCCAGAGCAGGTAGTGGGAGGTAGAGGCAGGCAGGGAGTGGCCCCATTCCTACTGTTCTGAGATTTATGGGGTTTGAGCTCACTCAACCTTACTAGCTCTTCCGTCTGGTGGTGGCACGGTCCACTTGCCCCGCAGTATTGGCATAACTTCACTGAAGGCTGATGCTATGCAACATGTAGCATTAGCACTGTGTTTAGACTAGAAATGTGGCATATGCTATAATAGCATTTGGGAAACTGAGACAGGAGGATCCCCAGTTGGAGGCCAGCCGGGGCTACAGAGGAAGACCCTGTTTCCAAAAAAAGGAAGTTTGTTATATACAGTAATATTACAGTAATGTTCAATGTTAGCGGATTGTTTCAGAACAGCTTTTATTATAGATTTCATATGTACGTGTTTTGATTATTTGAAAAGTACATAGTGTTCATATCTAAAGACTTATTCTCAGAGAAAATGCATTTGATTCTTTGAAACTTCAGGATTAAAAAAGCGTTTCTTTGTTTTGGATTCAGAAGGAGAAAAAGAGAATGAGAAAAGACAAAGGCTCGTGAGGGAAAGGCAACAGGAAGCCCAGGGTGAGAAGGTAAGACGCAACGCTTGAGGGCATCGTGGGCGCTGCCTCGCTATCTGTGTGTGAACAATCCCTGATGTCTAATTCACGTGGCATAAAACTGTATCTTCCCTCCTTCTCTTGTACTGTAAGCTGACCTAGAATTTACAAGGTCATGAGGATAACCTTGGGTGCCATTCCTGCCTCCACTTCCTAAGGGCTGGGATTACTATACTCAAAAATAAAAAACGAAACAAACCTTATTCGTTAAATTTTATTCATTCTTCATTCATGTGTCTATGTGATGTGTATGGAAAGAGTTGGTTCTCTTCTTATCCCAGGGTTTGAACTTAGGTGGTCAGGCATGGTGACTATTGGACTTCCCCTGGCCACTGCTGTAGCCAACGTTGGCCTCAATCTCAGGATCCTCCTGTCAGTTCAACAGCCCGAGTGCTGAGATGAAAGTTGTATGCCACCATTCTCAGAACATCATTGTCTTATATGTGCAATATTTTTTTTTATTATTTCTGAGTCTTAGTCACTGTTCTGTTGCTGCAAAGAGATACCACGACCAAGGCAACGCTTCTAGAAGAAAGCATTTAATTAGAGGCCATGATCCTCACGGCAGGCAGCAAGTATGATACTGTAGAAGTGGCTGAGAGTTTTATTTCCTGGTCCTCAGGTGTCAGGCAGAGTGAAAGATGCTGGGGCCGGCACGGACTTTTGAAACCACAAAGCCCACCCCCAGTGACACACCACCTCCAGCAAGGTCACGCCTCCTAAGGTTGAGCCTGTTTTAGGGTCACTATTGCTGTGATGAAACACTGTGACCACAGCAACTCTTATAAAGGAAAACATTTAATTGAGGGCCGGCTTATAGTTTCAGAGGTTCAGTCCATTACATCATGGTGGGACGCACGGCAGCATGCAGGCAGGCATGGTGCAGGAGGAGCTGAGAGTTCTGCATCCTGATATGCATGCAGCAGGGAGAGAGAGACACTGGGCCTGGCTTGAGCTTCTGAAAAGTTCAAAGCTCCGCCCCCCCTCCCACAAGGCTTCCTTGTTTAAGGATCGAATTTTCCGATTGTGCCAGTCCCTAATGACTAAGCATTCAAATATATGAACGTATGGGGAGGCATTCCTATTCAGACCACCTCAAGTTTTAAATCTTGTTCTGGATTAATAACTTTATAGACCACGTGAACGTATAATGTAGAAACACTAATGTCTAGTAATCACACGTTTTTGCTTGACCAGGCCAGCAAGTATATACAGAATGTTTTAAAGCCTCAGCAGGAAATGAAGTTGAAAAAGCTGGAAGAGCGGTTTTATCAGATGACAGGGGAGACCTGGAAGCTGACCCCTGGCCACAGACTCGAGGTTTGGAAAGTCTGCTTTTCTAATTTGGATCCTATTGTTTGTTTCCTGTGGGGTGTGTGTGTGTGTGGTATGTTTTATGCCCAATGTGCCAATGTGTATGGGTGTACTCGTCCATGTAGGCACATGCTGGAGTTAGTGTCAGGCGTCTTCCTGTATTCTACTTTGGGGGTACCCTCTCCCACTGAACCTAGAGCTCATAGTTTCAGCTAGACTGGCTGGACGGGTCAGAGCCCTGATCTCACACACACACACACACACACACACACACACACACACACACCTGTGTCACCTCAGACACTGGGGTTATAGTTGCTATCACCACACCTGTTGTTTAGTACATGGGTCTGGGGATTCTAGACTCATTTCCTCGTGAGCAGCAAGTGCTTTCTCGCTGAGACATCTCCCCAGCTCCTGTGTTTCCTTTATATCTATTGCCAAGGCCCATCTTTGTGCCCATGTTTCCTTGTATATGGAGTTACTTGCATGTGTGTATTTGGTAGAGTTTGAGTCAGGGTCTCTCTGTGGAACCCAGGCCAGCCTTGAACTCATTTTGTGGCCGTGGCTGACCTTCCCCTTGCAGCGGTTCTCCTGCCCCTGCCCCTTAAGTGCTGGGGTAGCAGGCGTGTACATTGCTTTGCTCCGCTCCTCATGAGTTTTATTCGGTGCATGTGTGAGTGAAGTGGTTAAGGGACTGTTTACCCCCGTGACAGATAATGTGCTCTTTGAGAAAACCGAGGAGTAACACTGTTCTGAGGAACTTCTGATCTTTGCTTAAGTAAGCTATTCAGATATCCAGAGTATTAAGCTCACATTAAGACATAAACGTATTTATTTTTATTTTGTGAGCATGAGTATTTCTCTCGCATGCATTCATGTGTACTCAGAAGAGGATGTCAGAGTCTCTGAAACTGGAGTCCCATGGCTCATAGCCGTCATGTGTGTGCTGGGAACCCAGCCTGTGTTGTCTATAACACTGTCTTTACTGCTGAGCAGTCTCTCCAGCCCCAAAGTCACACTGGGTGCATCATGCTTGGTTCTGTTTCTAAAACCATGGGCATTGATCCTGTGTTTTCATTTGGATGTAGAGGGTTACTGTTTAAGTATTGATACAGAGAAATATCCAGGCTTTACAGGTTAGAGTAACCCGTGACAGATTTATATGAAGGCTACCTTTTTGTGTGTTTTGTGTTTCCAGCTTGGAGGGCATCTTACGTTGTCTTGTAAGGAAAAGGGTCCAGTAAAGGAGCCAGGGTGCTTATATAGTCTACAGAGCCAGTTCTTACTTGTCTCACAGTCAAGGGCGGGTAATAACATTGATATGAAGTCTGGGCAGTACACGATGCCACTGTTCTATGTTGCCATTTCCTGTGTGTGTGGTACATGTGTGACACAGGATGTCAAATGTACTTGTTGTCACTCCCCACCTCTTACGTAGTTTTCATTTCATTACTTTATTTGTATGTCTGTATATACTACATTTGTGGCCAGTGCCCATAGAGGCCAGAAGAGGGCGCCGGCTCCCCTGGAACTGGAGTTACAGACGTTGTGAGCCGCCATGGGTGTTGAGAGTTGAGACCAGGTCTTCTGAAGGAACAGCCAGTGCTCGTGACCACTGACCCACCTCTGCAGCCCTTTACCTCATTCTTGAGACACTGTCTGTCACTGAACCTTAACCTCCCTGCTGTAACTAGGCTAGCTAGCTTGTGAGTTCCTGGGATCTCAGCTTTTTATGTGAGTGCTGGGGATTTGAACTTAGGCCTTTCTGGTGTCAGAGCAAACATTCTTACTGCTGAGCTTTCTTCCTCCGTGTCAGCACATTCAGTCTCTCCGTTGGTAGACATAAGTAGGCTGATTTTACTTTCATTTATTTTTGCTTTTGAGATGAGGTCTTGCCACATTCCCTGGGTTAGTTTCCACCTCCCTGGCCCCAAGCGTCCTGAGTCGCTGAGACCACAGGTGTGTAGTTCTGTGTACGGCTGGGTACCACTGTGCGACACCCTACCCCGTTCAACAGGCGGGTTTAGCCTGACTGATGGCTTCAGCAGGGGTCCCAGAATGACTTAGTCATTAATACTGCTGTTAGAAAAGTTAGTGGTGACAACGGTTGTCCAGGAGCAGGGCAGACTGTAGGCATGGTCATTCTGAGCTTCTGTGAGAATCTCGGTGTTAGAGCTGAATTGGGTGTGTCTGTCTGTCAACTCCAACCAGTCTACAGTGAGGTGATAGCCCACGCTTGACTAGTGAACGGCTTGGTGTTAAGAGTCTGAGTAGGAAGTTTGGTAAGAAATGTGAGGCGCTTTCGTGTCTTTGTGAGCAAAGGCTTTAGAGAACAGCTTAAAGAATTGCAGTTTCACAGAAGTTAGTCCCCGCGGCTGGAGGGCGTGGTGGACGGCCGAGCACTGGAGAAGGTGATTCAAGCCAACCCCACCCTATCTCCCCCCACTTCCCATAAGTCATCATAGTCTGGATCCATTAGGACCCATTCCCTGGATCAGAACCTTCTTATGAATTGCTCTCAGAGACTCACTCTGAGGCGGGCTTTCCTATCCTTGTGGATGTTTTATCTGGGTGACAAATGGAACCCTTGCGGTAGGTAAGAGTAAAAGATCAGAGTATAAAGAACAACCTTTGCACTTCCCAGAGGCTGCTTACCACTGGGCTGAGTCTGAATTGGGAAGCCCAGACGTTACCAGAACCATAGACTATGATTATACCATGGGTACTTTGGAGTCACCTACTGGGATATTCCTTTGTATGCATGGTGTTGTGTGACTTCCTGGGGGGACTAGACACATGCCCATCCACCCCAGATAGGCACCCTTCACAGACCAAGGAAACCACTCCACCCACAGCTAGCTTGGTGAGTCAGTGAATTTACAGGTGTGCAGTGCAGGGATACTCACTCACTGTGCCATTGGTGACACACTCACAGAAGCCAATGGGTGACAGTGATACAAAAGCTCTTGTAACCCTGGGCCTTCCTGCACATCGTGCTGACTGCAGTCAGCAATAGCTCCTGTTTCCGTAACAGCGAGGAGGAGTTTTTATGCATCTGCGATTCTAATGCTCCCTAGGTCCTAGACAGCCTTGGGCCTCCTGGGTGGGGGTGACTGGGAGGAAAGAGGCGCACATCCCACCTTCTGTTTGCATAGCTGATAGCACAGCACCTCTCTGCAAGGCTGCCTTTGTGGAGAGGAGGATAGGATACCATTAGCCCGTTTCCTTGTTTCTGTCTTTGGAGACACTCTGTGGTTGGTCCGACAGGATATTTGTGAGGCAGAGCAGGAAATGCCGAATGTTCAGGGCCAGTCTGGACTCCATATGAGTGCCAGGCCTACAGGGATACCTAGTAAGATCCTGTGCCAAAGCACAGAACAGCACTGTTCGACAACAGAAGCAAGCCGAGCAGGACATTGTCGGCTTTTCCTAGTGAGGAAGACCCTAGAACCTGGATAAAGGTGGATTCTGGAACTCATTCAGACTCATATTTTCTTGCCTAATGAAACTATACTTTAATTTTGTGATCTAAAAAATGACTATCAGAGCTAAAAAAAAGTAACCATTATGAATAGATCTAGTCAATACAACATGACTCTTGGAGTTTTTTTTTTTGGTTGTTTTTGACCAGGGGGATGAAGATTCGGAGTTTGAAAATTCAAGTCAGGCATCTTTTGAAACAATTAACGGAGAGGCAGTAAGAAGACAGAACTTGCCTAAGTTTTCACCTAACCTTTCACCACCTGCTCAGCCGCACTTGAGGAAGGTGAGCTCTAGGACACTCACAGAGTTTGACGGCTGATGGCAGGGGTGTGTTCTTTAAGGGGAAGAGGAGGATGCTTTAAACCTGGATGGTGTCTTCCACAGCCTTGTAAAGGGGTCAGCTCTGTGGATCACTGGTTCTACTTAAAAATCAGTAAACCTGAACCAGGTTAGAGGGAGCGAGGAGATAAATGGTATGGAAATAATTCGATAGTGTAGGATATTTTCTTGTATAAATTGAGATATTGGGATAATGCTCAAGTATAAACACACTCATTTTCTGTATCCCTTATTTATATAAACTGAAGACCGTTTTATTCAGTATCTCTAAATAATTCTGTGTGTAATGGCATGGCATTATGCCTCTGCCTCCCAGGTACTGGGACTACAGCCGGCACTACAACCCAAGGGTTTTCCTGTTTTGTTTCTTTAATAATGCAGGTTTGTACAATATCCTAGAACATCTTTTTTTTTTTTAATATTTATCTATTTATTTTATGTATGTGAGTACACTGCAACTGTCTTCAGACATACACTAGAAGAGGGCATCAGATCTCATTACAGATGGTCGTGAGCCATCATGTGGTTGCTGGGAATTGAACTCAGGACCTCTGGAAGAGCAGTCAGTGCTCTTAACCACTGAGCCATCTCTCCAGCCCCCTAGAACACCTTAAAAGAAAAAAAATTAGGGAAAGCATGCTGGCCATTGATAGAGGGCCTGGTACGTGCTACATATGTGAGCACTGCTGGGCCACCTTCCCAGTCTGTGCTCAACTCTTTTCTTCCTTCTTTACTTAAGAGACATTAAAAAATTACATTTACTTCCTTAGCGTGTATGTGTGTATATGCATGGGAGTATGACGATCCGAGAACTACCTGGAGGAACTGTTTCTCTGGGGATTGAACCCAGGTTGTCACCCTGTGCCCTAGTCAATGTTCTATTGATGTGAAGGGACACCATGACGGTGACAACTCTTATAAAGTAAAACATTTCATTGGGGCTGGCTTACAGTTCAGAGGTTTAGTCCATTATTGTCATGGTGGGAGCATGGTGGGCATGCAGGCAGACATGGTGCTGGGGAGGTAGCGGAGAGGTCTATATCAGGATCCGAAAGCAGCAGGAAGAGAAATTGAGACTTGCTTGAGCAATTGAGACCTCAAAGCCCCCCCCCCCAGTGATGTACTTCCTCTAGTGAGGCCACACCTCCTGATAGTGCCACTCCCTTTGAGTCTATGGGGGCCACTTTTCATTCAGACCACATCTGGGTAAGTCATCTTGCTCACCAAATAGATTTTAATATAAACTTTATGTGGTATTTTTGAGATAATGTCTTACTATGTAGCTTTGACTATCCTAGAACTTGCTATGCAGACCAGGCTAACCTTGGACTCAGAGATCTGCCTGTCTCTTTTATAGAGCTTATTCCGGTTAAGAGAGGAAAAGACAAGAAGCAAGTTAGACACACCTGAAAACAGTTGCCTCGAATTTTCATTGCAATTGTAAACTAATTTTCC